GGCTGTATATATATATAGTTGTATAGATATATATATATATATTACCTAGGGTTAACCAATCACACTGTTCATGGCTGTATGTGTATATATATATATATTACAAATAGGACTAACCAATCACACTATTCATGGCTGTATATATATATAGTTGTATAGATATATATATATATATTACCTAGGGTTAACCAATAGGGTCAACCTATTGTATACCAATAATCCTGTGTGTAGTGACTACGATATTACTTGTCCCGTGTATGTATACCAATAATCCTGTGTGTAGTGACTACGATATTACTTGTCCCGTGTATGTATACCAATAGTTACTACAACTTACCGGACACATCAATTGTATTAACAGTAGACAGAGCATGGTTCCAGGTTGTTAAAGGTAGAAACTGGATTAGGTTGTTGGCAAAATTCGCTTCACGTAAACCAACCATCATGGAAAACGTGTTTTCAGGAAGTACTGACAGTCTGTTCCAGCTGGAAGAAAACAAAAAAAAGGAACGTTTATAGAGAATATAGTTATATGTTCATCAAGTTAATAGTTCTGGACTCCATTGTGGAGACACAGTAATGTTTGACAATTCACGATCATGTATCGTGAATAGTTTATAAACATTCTTTTATCAAATAAAAATGATGTTAGGAAACTTTTCTTTCCATACCACGACAGCAGTCTGTCGTTATTTCCGAATTCTCTATATCTTTTATTCCTGTATTTTGTTAGATTGGTCCTACCGAGGGTTCCACAAAATATTTATCTTACTCACCGCTAGGTGATAATTAGGAAGGAAAGACACCACATATATTCAGCCCCTTTACTTGATGTGTAATTATTGTCTACAAAATTCCCGTTTTCTTCAAGCTTTGCTTACGATCTGGAAAGTGGATCAACTTTCTTTATCCCTATTAGTTGTACATGGAATAACGTTACTCTTAAATCATTAAAGGCAAGACAACTGTCCCAACATACCTGTGTTTTCTGTGGGCGAATCAAAAACATCCCCAACCTTTAGGCTAAATCGAGAGTGGCCTTCGGTTCACGTGAGTGATGTGTGGGCCATGGAGTAGCCCGACTTTGTTTTGTATATATACACACCAGACTTTACTAGATTTTG